TTCTGATCTCCAAGGAATCATTTTGACATTTTTATCCCTGTGCAAATTTGAGACTCATTTTGGGTTTCTCTCACACTGGCAGCAGAGGAGAGTTTTATTTAGGGTATGGGAAATGAGGTGCAGTGAATGCCCCTCATCAACCACTTAGCCAAGATCTGACCTCTTGGGAGAACCAGGAATCAGTCAGAGAGAACCAGGAATCAGTCAATGTTCAGGAGAGGAGAGTTTTGATTTTAAAGACCATGGTGATATGTGAGGTCAGCTTTGGTAGGTCAGGTGATGCTGAAGGAGTGGACACTCTGCGGATTTATAGGTCTTGGGCTCTTTAGGTGTGTTCTAATGCTGGTGAAGAAGATGCTGATTGTAAGAGGACAGAGTTATAATCCCCATCCACTCCATCATTCAATTTATGCCATATACTGTTGTTAAACGAATTCACCAAATTTGCTGCCTTAATCACAGTCTCTCATCTCTTGAAACTTCTTCAGAAACTCCAGTTACTGTGCCATGCAACTCTCCACTCCTCAAGCATCTTAGTCAACACTAAATGAAATCCCTGACCTCTCTCTGTGCCCCCATTTCAACTTTTCTTCATTCTCCCACTCCCGTTCTTTGCATATATTTATTTGACCTTTTCTCCCAGACTGTCCATCTCATTTTTAGAGAGACTCAGTCTAGGTTTCCAGGAGGATGTACCTCATTTGTACAGCCCCACTCATTATCCTCAGGTTTTCAATGTCCTTGTTAAAGCTTAGCTTTAAGCTTATGTTTCTCTTAGACATTTTAATCCCATTTTGTTCTCTTTAGTATTATAATCTCTGTGCATAAACTCTATACCCATTTTGCCTATGTCTAATAAACATTACATTTTAATGAGGACATAACTTCACTTTAAACATTTTTTATGATTTTTGAAATAATTGCAGTACTTCTGTGTGTAAATAGTGCTACAGAAGACAATGATGTTAAAAGAATTTTATACTATCATGTTTAATTTTTAAGGAGTAGATATTCTTGCTACCCATGCTCCTTTCCCATAAAAAGTGTTGGGAATAATCACATTATTCTTTGGCTACGCTTTACATCCAAAGTCTTATTTCCAGTCCTCCTTTTAAGTGCCTCAAGTGAGTATCGTCAGGAGTGTTCTCCTGGTAGGATGGTACAGTAGTCCTTGAAGTTTGGACCACTTGCCTCTCTGTAGGAGATGTCAGGGGCTCTTTTCGTGTATTTAAATGTCTTTTGTTTTTGTTTTGTACGATAATTTCCTGGGTCAGTTTTTGGACACTCTTTAGAGTCAAAATCGATGAGATATTTCAAGTACCCTAATAAATAGTCGTTAGGAAAAACTGACATTTTGGGCCCTTATTACACATGTAAATAGATATGCTTCTGTAACTCCACTGTCCTTCTCATAGAGACTGAACAGCCACTGCTATGTGTGTAGCCACCCATGTGACACTCACTGAAAACCAGCCACAGCTTGAGATCAGCCATCTACATTTGGCCAACCAAATTCCCTCTCCTAAAATTTGTAATTGGGACACAGGGATTCTTCCTTGTCAGCATTTGACTTTATAAAAGATGTTAAGGCAGTGGAAGTAGCAGCCACGGACTCACGTGTAAATGGCTAGATGCATTTGGACAACATGGAAGGAAAACAACAGAGATATGAAGCTAGAAGCAGAGGTAAGACCTTGTGGCATGATAGGTAGAGACAAGAACAAACAGAGCAACAGGGGGAAAGAGAGACAGACACACACAGAAATGGGGAAACACATAGAGACAGTTAGATTTAGGGAGAAGGAGAGAGAGAAGAGATAGAGAGAGAGATTGAGAAGAGAGAAATGGAATAGTTGCCTTAAATCCTAATAACTTTCCAGCTCTTGATTCTAACATCCCTTCCTCTACTAAGAGAATAGAGGTAGAGCCCCTTGTGCTGAAGCCAGGTTGAATTGGTTCTATTCCTTGTATCCAAATGATTCTACTGTGAAATACAGCCTAGCCCTAGTCTATGCATGTCTAACTCAGAATAGCTTGCATCATAGCTGTTCCATGTTCCTACTGTGAACTATGGTTTCATGGGTTCTGTTTCTGCAGTTAACAAGTTGGCCAAGCTGGCAGTCAGTATCATATTAAATCCACAATGAAGACTTTTTTGTTAAATGATATTGAGGTATTGTCATCAATTTTGTAACTTGTTGGCTGGGCACAGTGGCTCAGGTCTGTAATCTCAGCACTTTGGGAAGCTGAGGTGGGTAGATCACTTGAGGTCAGGAGTTTGAGATCAGCCTGGCCAAAATGGTGAAACCCCATCTCTATAAAAAACACAAAAATTATCTGGGATTGGTGGAGTGTACCTGTAATCCCAGCTACTTGGGAGGCTGAGGCATGAGAATCATTTGAACCTGGGAGGCAGAGGTTGCAGTGAGCCAAGATAGTGTCACTACATTCCAGCCTGGGTGACAGAGTGAGACTCTGTCTCCAAAAAAAAAAAAAAAAAAAAAAAGTAACTGGTAGTGCTTTATTAAATTTATTGGTTAATCAGAATGATTCGCCAGTGTGTAAAGAGAATTGTCTAAAAACAAGTAACATTAACAATGACAAAAACCAGCATCTATGTGGGTGTGTTTTCCATTAAACTAACCTTACTGATTTTCTTTAAACCTAAACAAATAAACATATTAAACAAATACTTACATTGTCACACTAATTTAATATTTTAAAATGTAATTTCATTGGTTTTGTCATTTTGCTATAATTTAACTTATAAAATTGCTTAGGTATTTTAAATGTAAAAGAGCTATACGTAGAAGGACTTTATACCCCTTTTTATATTAGTGCATATGTAAGTAATATTAGTAAAATAAGTAATATTTGTTTTTCTAATATTTTCCCTCAAAGAAATTCCATACATTATTCAAATTTGGGAAACATTGAATTAAGAAGTTGTTTTTCTAAATGAAAGTTTATTATTTTTAATTCACTTTACTTTTTCAATTTTTGGTAACATTCCCAGATTTATCCATGTATAGTTGATGTTTATTATCTTATGCCAGGCTGTTTTAAGGGTCAAATAAATTGAGTTTTATTTTCAGCAGTTACGAATTTTCTCTCTCTCTCTGCATTTTTTTTCTCAGTATATTTCAATCTTTTCCCTGAAAACCAAGAGGTACTTGGTCAGTTTTGGTTCAAATGCTGTATTGGTGAGGCCAAGCTTGTGGTGTGAAGATAGGGAACCACATAATTTCTCTGTGGCTTCTTACTGCCCTCAGCTGCTGGCCAGAACTAGCCACCTTTCTGCACATCAATTCAGTGGCATAAGAGCCCCAGATTAATAGGAGGTAGACTTAGCTGTCAAAGTAATGGAATTGTGACTTTGTTATCAGAAGTAGTATTTTCTTTGGAACCCCAGTAGCACTCCTAGCCACCCTTCTACATGTCAATTCAGTGGCATAAGCACTCCAAATTAATAGGAGGTAGACTTAGCTTCCAAAGTAATGAAATTGTGACTTCGTTCTCAGTTAGAAGTATTATTTTTTTAGGAACTCATAATTCCAAATTTGTGAAACCCAAGGGTAAAGTAACAAGAAGCAAATTCTTCAGCATAGAGAATATAGGCTTAAAATTGAGAGGCCATGCCCACTTCCACCCTTTGTTTCCTGGACCTGGCTGTGGTGTGAAGTGGGGGGACATTACTATATATTGGTCACTTGTTTAAATACCCCAATCTCCCCCCTCCTCAGCTGGTGCCATAGCTGAGCCTTCAATAGGCCATCTGCTTCTAGATGACGGGACATGTTGTAAGATTAATGAATTCCATGAGCATGACTACTGCTGTGTTTGTTTCATTACAAAGCGACTTTCTTGGTTGAGGGTGACATTTTGTGGTATAATATGTCAGTGGATAAAGCATTCATTAAGTCTAGTAATAAGGGCATGTATTAGATGTATTAGTTTCCTAGGGCCACTGTAACAAAGTACAAATGGGTTGGCTTAAGGGAACAGAAATTTATTCTCACACAGTTCTGGAGGCTAGTGGTCCAAAGTTCAAGTGTTGGTAGGACCATGATCTCTCAAAAGTTTAGGAGATAATCTGTTCCATGCTTTTAGCTTTTGATTTCAGTGACAATCTTTGGAGTTCTTGATTTGCGCTACAGAACTAAAATCTCTGCCTCTGTTGTCACGTGACACTTGCCCCCACCATGTCTCATATTGTCTTCTTATGAGGACACAAGTCAAATTGAATTAAGGGCCCACCTTACTTCAGTATGACTTCATTTTAACTAATTATATCTGCAATGACTGTATTTCCAAATAGTCACACTCAGCGGTATTGAGGATTAGGACTTCAACATACCTTTTGAGAGACATAATTCAACCCATAACGGAATGCTAGAAGAAACATCGTGGACTAAGAGGCCAATCCATATCTAGGATTCCTGAGGACAAAATGCCTTCTCCATTCCAAAACAGAAGGGATCCAGTGGAATCAACCTTCCAGCAGGGAGCTGGCGGTTCCCTTTGGGGAATGGTTCCATATCAGACCTCATCATTGGCCTCCATGTCTTAGCACCTAGCAATTATGATAGCCAAGACAGCTTTGGAGAGAGAAAATCTATATTGCTACTATTTAAATGTTTGTGTTGCTTCCAAATATACATCTTGAAACCTAATCCCCAATATGAAAACATTAAGGGTAGGCCTTTGGGAGATAATGAGGTCAGGAGGTTGGAACTCTCACAAATGAGATTAGTCCTCTTATAAATGAGGCTTGAGGGAGCTTGTTTTCCCCTTTCACCATGTGAGGACACACAAAAAGGCACCACCTATAAATCAGGAAAGAGGCTTTCACCAGTTACTGAATCTGTTGGCCAATTAGTCTTGGACTACCAGCCTCCAGAACTGTGAGAAAGAAATTTCTGTTGATTATAAACTACTTGCTTTATGATGTTTTGTTATAGCAGCCTCAATGGACTAAGACACCAATGTATAACCTGCAGGTTTGCTACCACAGCCGCTTAGAATGAGCACTGCATTGGCTGGGTGAGGAGGCTGAATAGCATCTACAATAAGGATCAGCTAGTCTCTATCAATATTAAGAGACTCTTCTGCAGTGGATGCTCTCTGGTAAGCTTTTATATATGATATGAATATTCTAATATTCCTTATAAGGTTTGGCTCTGTGTCTCTACGCAAATCTTATCTCCAGTTGTAATCCCCATAATCCCCACATGTTGAGGGAGGAACCTGGTAGGAGATGATTGGGTCATGGGTGCAATTTCCCCTATGCTGTTCTTATAATAGTGAGTTAGTTCTCACAAGATCTGATGGTTTTATAAGGATTTGACAGTTCCTCCTTCAAACGGTCTCTCTCTCTGGCCACGATGTAAGATGTGCCTGCTTCCCCTTTGGCCATTATTATAAGTTTCCTGAGGCTTCACCAGCCAGGCAGAACTGTGAATTAATTGAAACTCTTCTTTATAAATTACTCAGTCTTGGGTATTTCTTTTTAGCAGTGTGAAACAGACTAATACAATTCCATAACCACTTCGAGAAATCTGTCCACATATCCTGTCCTCAGAACACCTTGCCACCAATTCTTGCTTTTCCAAGTCACAATGAAATGGACATCCCATTGGCTTTTCCCTGGAGTCATTGTGAATCCATACGGTAGACCATATATTCCTCCACAGAAAGTGGAAAAACAAATGTACTACCTGAAATTCTGTCCACCGGGGATATTTCCGTTTCAGACAGAATTTCAAACTGCTACAAGTGGGTCTAGAGTGTAGCAGCTGTTCATTTCTGGATGGGGTCAACATCTGTCAAACAGGTAATTTTTCCTTCTTGCTAATAGTCATAGATAACTTCATAGCCATGGTTTAAGGAATTGCCTACGTAGCAGTAGGAGTAGATACTTTGAGGTCTGATTCTGTCTAAAGGAGTTATTTGCATTTTCTGGACAACCTTTGTCCCTGTTAGGTATATTCCATTCATATTTAATAACTTGATGCTCCTCCACACATCTACTTTTATATTTTCTTTTGATCAGATGATATCCAATTCATGATGAGCAGCTCAGGTCATAGAGTCTTCTGGTTGCTGTGCTCAGGTATTATTATTTGGTTGTACCAGAATCCAGTAACAAATTAGGATCAGCTTTAAAGTGGAAAATAGTTGTTTGCAGCATAGAGTCTGAATTTACTCCAAATATTGGGGCCTACATTATGTTTTTCCTATAGAGGCCTATTGGGGGCTCCAAAGTGTGCCTCTATTTATGACAGAATTAAAATACCATTTAGATATGCTAGCTTATGATGTCTAAGTGATGGGACATCTTTTACCATAAATTGGACCTATTGCTATGCCTCTCTTGCTCTGGGCAACATTCCAAACTGGTATCCTTGTGTATTATTTAGGAAATGGATAACAGCAGTGTTCCCAAATGTAGCATATGCTTCCTCTAAAATCAAAAGACATGTCAAATGTGGTGCCTCTTTCTTTATGGTAGGAAGTTCAAAGTGCACTTAATTATTCTTCATTTCAGAGGTGATAACCCACATGGTCTACAACAAAGGATTCCCAGAATCTTTAAATTTGGCAGAATCCCAAATCTTCATGGGAGCTGGGCAGAATTCCAAAGCTGTGGGTTTTATTTTCTACTCACTAAAGCACAAGTGTTTTACTAAGGCACCTAGGTGTTTGCAACTTCCTGCTTATCAGGTCCAATTAATATAATGTCTTCACTGTTATGGATCAGATGTTTTCTGAGATTTCAATGTGGTTAGGATTTCTCTGGACTATATTATGACAGAGATCAGGAGAGTTGATATAGTCGTGAGATAAGTCACTGAAGATGTACTTTTGTTCCTACTATTTAGATAAAGATGAATTGCTTCTTATTTGTCCCTAATACAGATAGGGAACAAAACAAAACAAAGTGAAACCATTTTCTAGGTCAATAACTACCTTTCTGCAGTTAGCAGCTGTGTTGGTGGTACCGATATTTCAGGGTCATTCTAAAGTATCCACTTGGCTTTTGTATCAGCCAAACTGAAGAGTTAAGTGAGGATGGGATAGAAATCAACACCCCTATTTCAGTTCTTTATAGTAGCACTAGTTTCTGCATTTTTTCCCCCAGGGATATGATATTGCTTTCTGTTTATTACTCGACATGGATAATTCCAGGGGCTCCACTTGGCTCTTCTCAACATAATGACATTTATGACATCAGTCAGGAAACCAATGTGACGATGTTTCTAGTTGTAAAGTATGATTATTTCAGGTAGATGGCTGTGAACATAGAAAATAATGACTAGGAAGGGATATAGCCCACCAACCATTCTAAGACAGATATGGGCCAAGATTCCATTTATTTTATGACTTTGTACCCGTACTAATTAGTGCTAAATTGGAGCAATAAGTAATAGCTCCTAGGTAGTATCATTACTTTTCTTTCCTAACTCACTCTCGCCTTGTTAAATGGCCATGGGTTCTCTGGGGGAAGGCTTGGAGAAAGAATTACAATGTATTTGTGTGTCTGCATTTAAGGATGATTCCTTAATAGAAGATAGCAGCCATCTCAGAAGGCTCTGGGTTTATGAACGAGGTATGAGGTCATGAATTCCTACTATAGCACTTCAATTTGAGTTATTGCTTACCGGAAGAAGAATTGGTCTGATAACATAGACCAAGTAATATTTTATAAGGCTGACAATCAATTTCATTTCTAAGGTCCTCCTAAAAATATTAGCCACAATAAAAAATCCACGTGGGTCAAAACATTACCATTACCATTCTGTCCTTGTGATTTGTTAGGGGTAATTGTTCCAGTTTCATCCCCAAAACTGAGCACTGCCACCTGGTCTCTAACACTCCAAGACCCCATAATTCTCATTAATATTAGGGAGCCCAAATTTTCATCTGCATCTCTGGCCTACAGAGAGGAGTCTTGACAGAGCTCTTAAGAGATGTGTTTGCTTAATACAAAAGTATTCTTATTGCTTTGGAGAAGGAAGTATTCTCGTTTCATTTTTCTATGGTCCTTGTCATAACTCTGTGTTGGAGGGAACCTGTTTCACTATCGCCTCCTTTGCCCACGTTGAAACAGGGACCCATCTTGTCTGTTTCCAAAAGAGTGCCTTGGTCATGCCACCTCCCCGGACCCCCCTAGGACCTCCAAGCTGTGTCCATGAAGTGGTGCAGTGAAAGGGGTGGTAGGTGGTGGTGGAACCCAGAAACTGATGCTGGTACTTGGAGGGGATTCTTAAATTGTATTAAAAAATAATTTTTTGTATAAATAAAAGAAAGTGGGATAAGTCCCAGCTCCGGGGGTGAAAATAATAATAATAATAATAATAAAAAATACCCTTTTGTAGGTATAGTGAGGGTTTTTTGGAATAGGTTACATAGAATAGATCCACTACAAAATTTTCATCTCCCTATGCCTTTGGTTTTTTCCTCTTTGCACCAGAGAAGTCCCAGCAATTCACCCTCATTACTGTACATCACCACTAAGCCCAGGTTTCACCAAACTGTTAAAGGCCATCCCAGATTCTTCAGCTGACAAATTATATCCAGAATCTCAGGTGAGTTTTCTCATATTGATAAATTCTTCCTAAACTAACCTTTTATTTTTATCTCCTTGATTTCACCCCTTCAGAATAAATTTCTAAACATGCTTTTCCACTCTCATTTTCTGATATTCAAAGTTGTCAATGTCCTAACACATCTCTGGTTTAGAATATATCTCATCTTTGAGGATACCTTGCACTTCTCCTTCTCTCCATGTAAGCAATGAGGGATGATTGGGGTTAACCTTGAGGAGAATGGGAATCTCCTGGAAAGGCAAGTGCTGCTGATGAAGTCACTGAAAGTAGCTTTTTTCAGAAAGCTTGGAGGGATTGCTTCAACTGCCAAGAAAGATTCAGGAGGCTTTAAGAATTTAAGTTAAGGACCCCATCTCAAGTCTCCAGGGTCCCCTTTTTCCAACTAGTGACTCATTATAAGTTTCTTAGGTTACAACTGGGTCCCTGTTTACAATGTAGTAGGACCCTGAGACTTGAGATGGGTTGGTAACCTTAACTTTTTCTTGAACTTTCAAAGCCCACTCAATGGATATATTTACCAACATTGCAACTCTGCTCATACCATCACGTCTTGATCTAATCATCAGTTATGTTTGTTCTGCAGATATACAAGATAAGAGATACGTTTAAAGCTGATTAGTTCTCCCTCATGCTTTGAGTTGAGTGTTCAAGGCACTAAGATTATATTCTTAGTTTTGTAAGCTCTTTAACAGAGTGAGAATCAGCCTGTAATCTTTATTACTATAATGATCAAATGACATACACATAATCTTCCAAAGCATTGCTCTCCACTGATTATCTGTCCCCACAAACCCCAGCAAGGAAATTGTCTGTATATTATAAAATAATATGTGTGGAATCCATACTAGAATTGTAACCTGAGGGGCTGTTTCTAGAGGCTACTCCTGGTACCAATTAGTGCATTGCTAGGGGCCCAGCAAGACGCAGAAGGCACACTAATGGAATTCTAAGGAGAATTTAATGAAAGTACTAGTTAGAGAAAATGTGACTTAGGGTTAGAAAACAAATCAGAGAAGTTGAGGGACCTCCGATTAGCAACATTGAGGTGTTACCATCTCTAAACCTGAAGGAATAGTTCTCTGGGAACTATTCCCTGCCCACCCCCTGCCCTTCAGGTTTAGGGATGGTAACACCACAAAGCCCTGTGAGCCAGAGCCTTAGAGGAGGGGCTGCCTGGCAGGAGCTGAAGTCAGAGAGAGTCGCATCCAATATAAGAATCCTAGCGTTAAACCAGACATGAACAAGACATTAACTGGCCTGACCTCTCTCTTCCCTCCTTATGATTCCCTGTTAGGCTTCTCATTAGCCCATGTCATGCACTCTGTAGGGTTCAGCCTTCCAGGAATACAGAGAGCACAGAGAGAGTGGATCTGGGTCAGTGGAGAATGGAGGGTAGCAAATGGAGAATAATTTGCATGCTGTAGTGGTGGTAGGAGCTGTCTATGCAGTAGTGGTGAATTCAAGGAGAGAGTCCTATTGCATTCAGGAATACTATTTCCTTTTAGTATTGCTCCTTGTAGAGAATGTATTCTTTCAGACTCATTGTATAGCTATAAAAAATCCTTTTCCAGGCCATATCCTACCTCGGTATGCCAGAAATTCTTTCCTGTGGGCCTCATGGTCCCCAGGCAAATCAGGATATATGGCTAGAAACTGCTTGGGTGTCCTTAAACATTCTGGTAATGAAGGTGATTATATATGGTTGTAGCATATGAAAGCCTCCAGAGAGACCATTGCTAGTGCATCTGAGTTCAAGCCAAGAGATACTGTTAGAGGGTGAAGTAAAAGAAAATTAAGGTGAGCATTCCTTGGAAGCAAAATTAATTTATAATGTGATGTGGCAGCAGAAAAGCTGAATGCTTTTTGAAGACCTGTATGAAGAATAATCACAGCCCTGAGTATTTCTTCCCACACAATTCAGTTACAATACTTCAGATATCACATCTGATTTTGAATGTCTGAGTTAAAATAAGTTGCAGATATTTGGTTGATTAGTAGAAAGGAAAAGTATGCAATAAAATGAAAGAAAAAAGCCTAACTGGTAAAACACACACACACACACACACACACACACACACACACACACACACACACCTGCCTCCAAAACAGAGTGAAATAGATTAATTTCTATACCCCAAGTATGAGGTGTAATTTTTTTTTTTTTAGATGGAGTCTTGCTTTGTCGCCAGGCTGGAGTGCAGTGATGTGATCTCGGCTCACTGTGACCTCTGCCTCCCGGGTTTAAGTGATTCGCCTGCCTCAGCCTCCTGAGTAGTTGGGATTACAGGTGTGCTCCACCACACCTGGCTAACTTTTTGCATTTTAGTAGAGACTAGGTATCACCATGTTGGCCAGGATGGTCTCGATCTCCTGACCTCGTGATCTGCCCACCTTGGTCTCCCAAAGTGCTGGGATTACAGGTGTGAGCCACTGTGCCTGGCTGGTGTAATGTGTTTAAGACACATATTAAATGGTATGATAGAGACTACAGGGAAAATAAAACTTGGGCATGAGAAAATGTCTAGAAAAACACTCAGGTATCAGTAATACAGTCTTTTTGGTAATACACAGAAAATCAGCCATGCACAGAGGAAAAACATGTAATACATAGTGTGTGGAGGGGGTGCTGATTGTCGGTTATAACATGTTTAGTCACAGGTGTGCATTCCTTTCTATGAGGCATCCCTTAACTCTGTGAATGTGAAAGTTCAAGCCCAGGATAGACCTGTAAAATGAGGAAACAGGAAATTTTACTCTCTTTCTATTTCCCATAAGTAGAACAAATTTAGCTGTATTTTGCTAGAGGCAAGTTTGCTGAACTTGAATAACCTTTACATTGATTGCTATAGACATCCAGGTAAGATTGCAAAGCTTTCTCTGTGGTGTTGCAGTTTTACACAGCGTAGGTTTTTGGTCATTGTGTCAATCTACATTGCTTGCTTCAGACTATCTCTATTTGAGAAGCTCTTTTAAATAGAAAATGGCCTTTACTTGAGTTACTGGATATCGCATCGCTATGCCGACGGGGAGAGTATGGAAACTTTGAAGCTGGTTGATCAAAGTTGCAAACTTTGAAGTTAGTTGATCTTGCTTTCTTCGCTTACTAGCTGTATGACATTGGGCACATTTTTAGTTCCTGTGAGCTTTGGCTTTCTTTTCTGTAACAAGGGATGATTAATGCTTTTAG